CGGGTGAAGGCCCCCAAGCCAGAGGTGTGTGTTAGATGTGGTGCCTCACCAGGCTTGTCTGTGAGCCAGAGACTGACCATCAAAGTACTCTGTAAAAGGAATCCAAGTTCTTGTTGGGGAAGTTTCTGAAATACATATAAGCTCTGTCTTTTCAATGCTTAGATTCATAAAAATTGCCTACATATCTTAAGAAATGTGACCTTTCAGGCACATTGACTCTTGGATTTTCTACTTCAACTGTGCTGGATAAATGGTGATATAGCTACTCACCTTCTTTGTCCTAAAGGAAAAGCACAACTAGATTTATATGTTTTTTTATGGCAACCAGCCAACTGTGGAAGGAATGTGGAATCCACTTTCAAAAGCAGTCCAATGCAAAGGCTCTAAGCAGAGTGTGCCTATTTTATTTAAGGAACAGCAACGACATAAGAGCATGGGCTGTGGTGGTTCAGTGAGGGAATTCCTGCCCCCCATGGGGGAGACTCGAGTTCATTTCCAGCCGATGCACCTCATGCACAACAGTGGAGGCTTGTGTGTTACTATTGATGCTGAACAGATTTCATTAGAGTGTCCAGATAGACTAGGAAGAAAGACCTGGAGGTGTACTTCTTAAAATTAGCCAGTGAAAACCCAGACGATCACGATGATCCAACATGCAACTGTGGTAGTTTAGGTTGTGTGTCAGCTTGGCTGGGCCATAATTTGAGTGGCTTGGCAGCTAGATGTAGATGATGAGATTTTCATCACCTCCATGGTGGAATCTTCTGTGAGAAGCTAAGTAGTTGAAGCGGTTTCCTTTGGGGTGTGGCCTACTTCCAATATATAAGGAGAAGCTTTGGAAAAGATCTCAAGGTTTTGGCACATGTAGATCCTGCATTTGGCCAAGTTTTCATGTCCAGTTGCTGGACTTGAAATAGTGGCCTGTGGTATTGCAGAGCATTGTGCCATTTCACCTGCTGACCTTTGACTGTCAGCCATTAGCTGTGTTAATCAGAAGATGCCTCCAGCTCCAGTGGGCCTGGATCAAGAGGCAGAGACAAAGCCCAAGATCTAGAAGCCTTAGCCCAGCCCCTGGAGCCAGCACTCTGAATTCAGACTTCCAGCCTCCTAAACTGTAAAAGAATAAATACCTATTTGTTAAAGCCATTCACTTGTGGTATTTCTGTTATCACAGCACTAGAGAACTAGGAAGCAACTGATCAAGAGAATGGCATATGACCAGGAAGCATTTCATTTTTACATGGGTCCCCATAAGTCAGGGCCAACTTGATGGCAGCTAACAAGGACATAAGAATAGTACATTATGTGCAAACCCCAGAGACTCCTGCTCTGTCGTCTGCACATTTCCAGGAGGGCTGGATTGGGCACTTCTTGTATGCGCTGAGTCTCCTGTCAGAGAGGTATGAGCAGGAAATCACATCTCAAATTAGAAACAGCTGGGGGTAGGGAGTGGGCCTATGGGTGCTCTTGCTGTTGGCAATCCCCAACAAAAAGGGCAGGGTGGCACTTGGTTCCTACCTCCTGCTTTATGAGTCTCTCTTAGATATTTCTTTTCAAGACTCCATTGGAGCCACACAAAGAAAGTAAACCCGACTCTGTCAGTTCTTCCCAATGTAATAAATATATACCTGTGCTTTCACTTTTCCATTAGGATTGCTAAAGAGTGTTGACAAACTGATATTGTTACAGCACTGTCATATTATTTTTAAATTTCATTTTATTTTTTATTCACATTGTTCAAAAATTTGAAAGAAATAGAAAGGTATACATTGAGAAGGCTTGATTCTACCCCTGATCCCATGCACCCCATTTCACCATCTATATGTAAAGACTTTTGTTAGTTTCTTGCATATCTTCCCAATACTTCTATATGCAAATTTATGCAAATACTAATGTACTCTTCCATTCAATAACTAGAGACTCTGAAACTTGACCTTGAACGGAGGGTAACTAAAGCAAGTGGAAAAATCAACAAGACAAAAGAGCTGAACTGAAGATTTCAAAGAGCAGCTCAAGAAGACAAAGTCAATTATCATAATGAAATGTGCAAAGACCTGGAGTTAGAGGGCCAAAAGGGAAGAACACACTCAGCATTTCTCAAGCTGAAAGAACTGAGGAAAAAATTCAACCCTTGAGTTGAAATATTGAAAGATTCTATGGGCAAAATATTCAATGATGCAGGAAACATCAAAAGAAGATGGAAGGAATATACAGAGTCACTCTACCAAAAAGAATTGGTTGATGTTCATCCATTTCAGGAGGTGCATATAATCAAGAACCAATGGTACTGAAGGAAGAAGTGGAAGCTGCACTGAAGGAACTGGCAAAAAACAAGGCTCCAGGAATTGATGGAATACCCACTGAGAGGTTTCAATAAACTGGAGGCACTCACTCATTTATGCCAAGAAATTTGGAAGGCAGCTACCCAGCCAACTGACTGGAAGAGATCCATATCTGTACCCACTTCAAAGAAAGGTGATCCCACGGAATGTGGAAATATTGAACAATATCTTACTGAAGATAATTCAAAAATGGTTGCAGCAGTATATTGACAGAGAACTTCCAGAAATGCAAGCTGGATTCAGAAGAGGTCATAGAACAAGTGATATCATTGCTGATGTCAGATAGATCTTGGCTGAAAGCAAAGAATACCAGAAAGATGTTTACTTGTGTTTTATTGACTATGCAGAGGCATTCAATTGTGTGGATTATAACAAATTGTGGATAACATTGAGAAGAATGGGAATTGCAGAACACTTCACTGTGCTCATGAGGAACCTGTACATTGACCAGGAGGCTGTCGTTCAAACAGAACAAGAGGATACTGCATGGTTTAAATTCAGGAAGGGAGTTTGTCAGGGTTGTATTCTTTCACCATACTTATTCAGTCTGTATGATGAGCAAATAATCTGGCAAACCATCTCTACCATGGATCTGTGCTCTGTCTCTGGAATACAGACCCTCTTCACAAAAAGCCATTAGCTGCTCGAGGGCAGTTCAGTCAGCACATCTCAGTCAGGGCCATTGCTGGCATGTGTGGAGCCTCTGTGCAAATTGTAACAAAGGGCCTCCTCTAGGAGAGCAAACCAAGAGGTATTCCTCTGTCTGGCAGATTACAAATCATCACTCCTTCTCCAGACAGGTGAAGAGGAGTAGATGAAGAAGAACATGGCATCAGGATTGGAGGAAGCATCCTTAACAATCTGTAATATGCAGATGACACAACCTTGCTTGCTGAAGGTGAAGAGGACTTGAAGCACTTACTGATGAAGATTAAAGACTATAGTCTGCAGTGTGGGTTACACTTCAACATAAAGAAAAAGAAAATTCTCACAACTGGGTCAGTAAGCAGCATCACGAGAAATGGAGAAAAGATTGAAGTTGTCAAAGATTTCTTATTACTTGGTTCTACAATCAACACCAATGGAAGCAGCAGTCAAGATATCAGATGACGTATTGCACTGGGAAAATCTGTTGCAAAAGACTTCTTTAAAGTGCTGAAGAGCAAAGGTGTCTCTTTGAAGACTAAGGTGTACCTAACCCAAGCCATGGTATTGTCAATCGCCTCATATGCATGTGAGAGCTGGACAATGAATAGGGAAGACCAAAGAAGAGTTGATTGTTTTGAGTTGCGGTGTTGGTGAAAGATAATCAAAGTCCCAAGGACTGCCAAAAGAACTAACAAATCTGTCCTGGAAGAAATGCAACTGGAATGCTCCTTGGAAGTGAGAATGGCCAGACTTTGTTTGACCTGCTTTGGTCATGTTGTCAGGAAGGACCATTCCCTGGAGAAGGGTACCATGCTTGGTAAAGTGGAGAGTCAACGAAAAAGGGGAAGGTCCTCAACTAGATGTATTGATACAGTGACTGCTATGATGGGTGCAAGTGTAGCAAGTACTAGCAAGTAGCGAGGGTGGTATAGGACGGGCAGTATTTTGTTCTGCTGTACACAGGGTTGCTATGAGTCAGAGCTGACTCCATGGCACCTAACAACAAACAACTACTTCTAGACTACTATAATCTAGGTGCTGCTTTAAGCTTTTGAAATATGTCAGTGAATAAAACAGCAAAAATCCTACTGTTATGGACCTTACACTCTAGAATGGGTAGCCAGACAGTAGGCAATAAACATAAGAAAACAATGGATTAAGGAGAATGGCATTGTGGGGGTTTGAAGGAGGCAAGTTTCAATATTAAATAGGGTAGTGGTCAGGATAGACCTCATTGCAAAACTGACATTTTGAGTAAAGGTTTGAAGGTTAGAGAGTTAGTTATGTTGATACGTAGGGAGATAACCTATGGAAAGGTCCCAAGTAGAGCATGCCTATCATATTGAAATAATAGCAAGGGCTCAAGTGTGACTGAAGAGGAGTGAGAGAGAGGAGAGTAGTAGATGAAGTCAGACAGGGGTGAGGGAAGGAGGACAGATAAAGTAGGGCCTTGCATACCATCCTAAGGACTTTAGTATTTACCTTGAATGTGATGGGGAACCATCACAGCATTTTGAGCAGAGAAGTGATATTATCTGACTTATTTTAATAGAGTCTCTCTGGCTCTTGTATTGAGAATAGACCATAAAGGAAGAACGGGTACAAGAAGGGAGACTCTGGTTTGAAGGCTATTTCAATTATCCAACCATGAGGAAATGGTGGTTCAAACAAGGTTGAGAGCAATGGGAGTAGTAAGTGGGCAGATGCTGGGTGTATTTTAAAGGAGGCACTAATGAATTGGCTGTTGGGTATAGAAAGAGAAGAATCAATGATGCCTCCAAGAGTTTTGACTCGAGCAATTGGGAAAATAGAATTTATCCCCATATTCTAAGGGGCCCTGGGTCCTCTACCATCTCCTCCTCTCACCTGTTACACACATTAGTTGTGTATTTAGAAATGGCAGTGTTTTGTGCCCAGTGTTATGTCTCAGAGAACTGCCATTTCATAACCATTAATGGTTGTTCAATGTTCATAATATGAGTATATGTTTTGATATGTTTGCCTCCCTAGAACTTTGGAAACACCAAGTCATGAAGGAAAACTTTTCAGTCATAAGACCACAAATAGTTGAAAATTTCATACGGAGATTAATGGAGAATCACCAAGATAGTGAGGTAGAGGTATGTATTGAAAATGAGTCATTCTGGTCTTTTCAAACACAAACCCAAACAAGGTAGACTTTCTCCTTACACGTTGATCAGTGCTTCTCTTACTCCCTTTGAACAATGCTAGAATTACTGAGGCTGAACCCAAAACATTAATCATTTATTATCATTTTCTTTTCTAGAAAAAGACTGATTTCTGATAAAGATGGGAATAGTTAGAATGCACGTGTTGGCTGATTTCAGATTTGGTCCAATTTTTAAGTAACCTTTTTGTTGTTGTTGTTGTTAAGTGCTGTCGAGTCGGACCCTACTCATAGCGACCCCTCCTTGGGTTTCTGAGGCAGTATCACTATGGAAGTAGATTGCCCAACCTTCCGAGGAGTGGCTTGTGGGTTTGGAGTTCGTTTATGAGTGGATTTTTAGCCATATTTTCTGTTATTGATTTCTGGTATAAAAAATGTAAAAGAAGAAAACTAAAATAGCCTATAATACCACGAGCTAGCGACATATCCCTTAGAAAATAGTTTCTAAATGTACAATATGAAAAAGAAACAGCACAGAAAGGGAACATTTCCATCCCTCCCCCACTTCACAGTCCCTGATTTCCTGTCCACAAAGGAAATCAGAATCAACAATTTTTTGTGTGTTATCTTTAAAAAAAAATATTTGTACCCGTAACAGCTCAATATGATATATATATATAAATAATATGAATATACAAAAATGTATTTAATACATGCCCACATAAATATACACAGCCCTTGAAGTCTTGAAGCAGGTTTACTCTTGGCAGGAAGTGCCTTGCTAAATCAAAGGAATCTGCCCAAAAGCCAGATAAGAGAGTTTGTGTGGCTATTTAGCCGTAACAGAGCTTTCGGATCATTATGCTATTAAACATAAGTGCATTAGGTAGATATGAATTCTTTTGAAATTTACCTATTTTTTAAAAAAACCTGACTTTGTAAAAATGTACTTAATTTTTTTAAACAATGTTTCCCCAAAATTTACATTTTTCTGAACTCAAAGCTCTTCTAATATCCCCCATGATTTTATAATAAGCATTTCAGTTCTTAATTATGAGGTAGAGAATTCACAAGGTTGGTTGGGGAGAACTTTTCCCGCAGGACGTTATAGTTTACACAGATTTGCTTTAACCTTTCAATTATGCGCAAATGTTCTGTGTGCTTTGCTGAGTGGGTGAAGTGATTCTACTCTGGTGGTTTTGTGCCTTTTGGTTTCTGCAGCTCAGAGGATCTCAAGCAGAGGTCCAGAAGGGAATAGGGTATGGTATGCTCAGAAACATGTCTGAATTAAAGAATTTTGTCACTCAAGATCCGCTTATTCCCTTTCTATACACTTTGTTGTTGTTGTTGTTGTTATGAACCCGACTCCTAGCGAGCCCTCCTTGGGTTTCCGAGGCAGTATCACTACGGAAGTAGATTGCTCCATCTTCCTTCTGAGGAGTGGCTGGTGGATTTGAACTGCCAGCCTTCTGGTTAGCAGTCAAGTGCCTTAGCCACTATGCTACCAGAGCTCCCTCTATACACTTTACCCCAATATCATATCTTCTCATGGCCAGCCTGGGCTCTTGTAGGAAAGAAATCTGAGCTTTAGTTGACACGGCAAATTCATAAGAGGTGCAGCTGAAACTTGGGGCTCTGTACACTGTTTGGTGTGAGCCTACCAGTGTCTTGCAATCATAGGGCCTCAGGATGCTAGGCCCTCTCCAAAGGCTGTACCTGGTGGTCTTCTAGCCTCTTTTGGACCACCTGCAGTGATGATAAATTCACTCTCTTCCAAATCCCACCCATTACTGAGAGGCTCTTCCTTTAATTAGCTCTTAAAAACTCAAAAACAATTGCTATCAAGTTGACTACAACACACGGCAACTGCATGCATGTCAGAACAGACCTGGGCTCCACAGGGCTTTCAATGGCTGATTTTTTGGAAGTAGATTGCCAGGCTTTTCTTCCAAGGTGCCTCTGGGTGGACTCAAACCTCCAACTTCTCAGTTAGCAGCTAAGCATTTACACCACCCCGGGACTCCGGTGAGCTCTTACTGGGCTGAATCTTACCTCCCCACCGTCTCTACCATGGATCTGTGTTCTGTCTCTGGAATACAGACCCTCTTCACAAAAAGCCATTAGCTATTCGAGGGCAGTTCAGTCAGCACATCTCAGTCAGGGCCATTGCTGGCATGTGTGGAGCCTCTGTGCAAATTATAACAAAGGGCCTCCTCTAGGAGAGCAAACCAAGAGGTATTCCTCTGTCTGGCAGGTTATAAATCATCACTCCTTCTCCAGACAGGTGAAGCTCCATGCCAGGGTACTGGACTCCCCCTTTTCCTGGGTGCCTCTATGCAGAGCTCAGACTGCACAACCAAATGTTAAGGACCTGAGCCCTGTCTTCTCTCCTTCAGAATAAACTATCTCCACTACCTTCTTTCATGTTATATGCATTCTCTTGATATCTGGTCAGCCTCCTCTAAACTGAAGATTGTCTGACCAGCAAAGAGCGCCCTTGCCATAGATGTTCTGCTTTGATTAATGCCTATGAGTGGGTTATGTTTTGGTGGTCATATCAGAATGGATTCATTGAGCTGTAACTTGATATGCAGAGGACACAACCTTGCTTGCTGAAGGAGAAGATGACTTGAATCACTTACTGAGGAAGATTAAAGACTACAGTCTGCAGTATGGATTATACCTCAATATAAAGAAAATGAAAATCCTCACAACTGGACCAATAAGCAGCATCATGATAAATGGAGAGAAGATTGGAGTTGTCAAAGATTTCATATTACTTGGTTCCACAATCAATACCAATGAAAGCAGCAGTCAAGAAATCAGACAATGTATTGCACTGGGCAAATCTGCTGCAAGAGACCTCTTTAAAGCGCTAAAGAGCAAAGATATCTCTTTGAAGACTATGTTGCACTTAACCCAAGCCATTGTGTTTTCAATTGCCTCGTATGCATGTGAAACCTGGACAATGACTAAGGAAGACTGAAGAAGAGTTGATGCTTTTGAATTGTGGTGTTGGTGAAGAATACTGAAAGTACCATGGACTGCCAGAAGAATTAACAGATCTGTCCTGGAAGAAGTGTAGCTGGAATGCTCCTAGGAAGCAAGAACGATCAGACTTTGTCTCACCTTCTTTGGTCATGTTGTCAGAAGGGACCATTCTTTGGAGAAGGATATCATACTTGGTAAAGTGGAGGGTCAGCAAAAAAGGGAAAGACCCTCAAGGAGATAGATTGACACAGTGGCTGCAAAATGGGCTGAGGTATAGCAGGGATTGTGAGGCTGATGCAGGACTGGACAGTGTTTCACTCTGTTGTACACAGGGTCACTATGAGTTGGCGTCGACTTCACAGCACCTAATAAGACAACAACAAACCCTAAGAGAATAAACTTCTATTAAAGCCACCCATTTGTGGTATCTTCTGTTACAGTGGCATGAGAGGTATCCAAAACACATGCCGACTCTGTTTTCCAGATATATTAAAACAAAACAAAACTTCAGGGTGAAGCAAACCAACATACAATCAATCCTGATCCAGATCCCATTAGCATTCTTTAAGGACACAGAAAAACCAATCTCTAATTTTATATGGAAAGGAAAGAGACCTCAGATAAGCAAAGCACTACTGAAGAAGAACAAAGTAGGAGGTCTCGTATTCCCCCTATCTCAAAACTTATTTACAGCCACAGTAGTCAAAACAGCCTGGTATTGGTACAATGACAGACATATAGACCAATGGAATAGAATTTAAGACCCAGAAATCGATCAACAAATGATACTGGCAAAACTGGATATCCATTTGCAGAAAAATGAAACAAGATCCATACCTTACACCATATATAAAAACTAACTCAAGATGGATCAAAGACCAATATAAAGTTCATCAAAGAAAAACAGGAGCAAACTTAGGGGCCCTGACACATGACATAACTAGACTATCAAACATAACTAAACATGAACAAAAAGCAGGAGAGAAACTAGATGACTGGGACCTTCTTAAATTCTGATGTACATCGAAAGACTTCTCCAAAAGAGTAAAAAGAGAAACTACAGACTGGGAAAAAAGTATTTAGCAACAACTTATCCAACAAGAGACTTATCTCTAAAATTTATAGAAAACTCCAAAACCTCAATATCAAAAAGAAAAACAACTTAGAAATGGGCAGACGACATAGACACTTCAACAAAGAAGATATTCAGGTAGCCAACAAACACATGTGGAAACCAGAACTAGATGGTGCCAGCTACCACTGCCAACTACTCAGAAAGGGATCAAAACTAGAAATTATGGATAGGAGAAAAATGTGGAACAAAACTCAAAACCAACAAAAAAACAGGCTTACTTGTCTGATAGACACTGGTGATACCCCCAAGACTATAACCCTTAGTCACTCTTGGGGCCTGGAATTGAATTCACTCCCATGGCTTAACTTCCAGCCAAACAATAGATAGGTCTACAAGATGAGCAATTGCACTGGGGAGGTGTACTCCTTAGACCAACCAACCTTGGGAGATCAGAAGGGCAGCATTTGAGCAAGGAGGACGCTCAGGAGACAGGAATGCATAGGAAAGAATACAAATGTGATAGTTAAGGTTGTGTGGCAACTTGGCTAGACCATTACTCTGAATGGTTTGAGAAATTGTGGTGTGGTTGCTCCCATGATGAGATCTGATGTAAGGTAGTCATCTCCTTGGTAGGATATACTTTGAACAGCCAATCAGTTGAAAGGGAGTTTTTTTTTGTGGGGGAGGCTGCTTCATAGATAGATAGATAGATATAGGTATAGATGTATGGATGTCCTGGGAAAATTCAGGAACTTTCTGTTGGTTCTGGATCCTGCCCTGCTGCCTGCTGATCTTGAGTTTGTCAGCCCCTGCAGCTGTGTAAGTCAGGAAAAGTCTCGAGCTGGACATTTGACCCAGGAACTTGGAAGTTGCCAGACTCTAGAACTACGTGAAGGAGCTCTGGTAGCATAGTGCCTAAGGCATTT